TCAAGTGTTTTGCAAGCTCGCCGGGGAAAACAGAGGCAAGCAGCAGCAGCAGCAGCAGCAGCAGCAGCAACAGCAACAGCAGCAGCCGGGGCTTATGATGCTACCGGGAGTGGCGGAGGCGGAGCAGCAGCAGGGGTATCCGCAGATGATGTTTTATGGGGGTGACGCGCAAGCCGCCGCTTACGCCGCGTACGCGCAGCAGTTCCAGGCGGTTCCGCAGCAGCAGCAGGTGTATCAGGTCGCGGACGTGTACGCGCAACAGGTGCAGGCGCAGGCGGAAGCGCAGGCACAGGCGCAAGCGCAAGCGCAGGCACAGGCGCAGGCGCAGGGGCAAGTTGCGCTGCAAGCGCAGTATTATCAGCAAGCACCCGCCGCCGCAGCGTATCAGCAGCCCGTAGCTGGTTACCAACAACAGGCCGCAGCTGGTTACCAGCAACATGCCGCAGCTGGTTACCAGCAGGTCGCAGCTGGTTACCAGCAACAGCCTGTGTACGTAACCCCTGCTGTTGCCGCCCCAACCCTCGCAGCCATCCCCGCCGCCCCCCAAGCTGCGCAGATGCAGCCTGCGCCTGCTGCGCCCGCCCCCCAGGGTTACCCCGCGCAAGCGGCGCCCGCGCAGGGCTACTATGCGGCGCAGGGGGCAGTGCCCGCGCAAGGCGCATACGTGCAAGCGGGGGTTGCGCCGCAAGGGGGGGTTTATTACCCGCTGCAGGCACAGGCGCAGGGTCAGGCGCAGGGGCAGGCGCAGGGGCAGATGCAAGGGCAGATGCAGGGGCAGATGCAGGGGCAGATGCAGGGGCAGATGCAGGGGCAGATGCAGGCGCAGCAGGGGCAGCAGCAGGGCGGGAAAGGCGGCGGCGTTGGGGAAGCTTCCCCCCAGCCTGGCGCAGCAGCAGCAGGAGGGGCTGCGGGGCGGCCTGGTTACCCGGTAACGCCACAGCTGCAGGCCCAACAGCAGCAGCAACAGCAGCAGCAGCAGCAGCAGCAGGGGGCAGGGCAGCAGCAGCAGGGAGTGGTGTATGCAGGATACTATGGCGCACAGTAGCTCCAGCTGTGCGTGACACCCTGTTAAAAGACTGGGCTGTGCTCAAGAGTCGTCTGTTACGGTGCTGCTCGGTCTGCTCGGTAGGTATGAATCTGTTAACTTGGAGGCTGCTTTCGAGGCGCCTGAAAGGGGGGTGGTTGTGGCTTCCAGTGAATGTGTTGAAGGCTGGTGGGAGCGACTGCAGCACCTGGGAGGGGTGATTGACGGTGGTTGTCGGTGGCTGCATGTGTCTACCCCAGCCAGTGTGTTTCTCTCTGTCATTCTCTTCTTCCATCTGCTGCTGCCACGTCCACGGAGGTTTGTGTTGGCTTGCCAGCTCCGCCTGAGCTCCTTCTCTCTCTCCCTCTCTCCTTGCGTAGCTGGTCTCTCACCATAAAGCTCTTTTCTCTCAAAGAAACATCACTTCACCTTGATTTCTCCAGCCTGTCTCGGCCAGGCTCCTCTATCTGCGTTTCACTTTCACTACCTGCTGGCTCCTGGCACACACTTCGGCCCTAATCTTCCCTCTTCCTGCTGTCGCTCCTCACCTCACCTGCATCTTTTCGTCTGTTAGCTCAAAACCTCTTTCCTGCGTTCTATCATCACTTCAATCACTGGTCACCGGCTCTCTGCCTTGAATCGTTCCACGCTCCCACAATTCTCCTCGTTACAGTCCCTCTCTTACTGTATTCTTTCTATCTGGAGCATCTCGACTCTCTCCATTGGGCCTGCTTCTGTGTCCTCCCTGTTGAATCCTAGCCTGCTGCTAGGCATGCTTCACCTTTTCTCTGCCAATGCTGCTGACTGTGATTAGCCGTGTTTGATGGAATTGGTTTCTTGCCTTTCAATGGTGTCAGTACTGGATCTTTTGGACTCATTCGGTGAAAGTTGGTCTTGGTAAACCCCTTTGGGTTTCGCTGCATTGTTGAGGGTTCTGTGATGTTTTATCTATGGTATTGCCATTGTTACTCTTGTTTCACTCTTCTTGTGCTGGTTTCTTCCGCTCCATTCCCACTCAATGACTTAGTATGTCTAAGTCTGTCTGATCTGATCCCATCCATCTTTGCATCGGTACTGTTAAAGACTGTTTCTCTGTTTGAATGTGAAGCCATCATCGGGGCAGATTGCAATTTACTTACTGCTGCTGTGCTTGATTAGTGCGAAATTTCAGTTACCGTATATAAGCATTGGCCCAGTAGCACCACTTATGCCTAAATTGGTGCATGACTTAAAAAATTGGTTAACCAGAAACTGTATTGGTTCAATTCTAAAACCCTGACAGTTTGTGAGATTTGTTGCACCACCATGCGGAAGCGTACAGCACCGTGCGCAATCGGTGCGATTTTTGAATGCATATTATGGTACACTTGCACGGCAGACCACCTGGAGTTCCTGGTTCAACGAGAGGAACTCGAGGATGCTGGACTCGCATGCATCGCTCTTGCTGCGGTGAGCTGGTCAAATTTTACGGGTTTGTGGTTTGCGTTGCGGTTTAAAGCGGTAAATGATAGGCTGGAATTTGGCTGACACAGCATCCCGCGGCATTCTCCAACGGTCATATTTTCCCCTTCCCCCTCCCCCACAACTCTCTACGCATAACATCCCTTTTGGCTCGATCACCAGCACGGAGTTTCTTGATTCATTAACACACGACTGAAAGAGGAACAAGCGTTGGATGCGAGTCTGTCAGCCATTCGCTGTTACTGTCACGGCTGCCAAATACGTCTGCTGATACTTCCGTTGGAGCGCTTCAGTAGCCACCCGGGCGACTCGAACCTGACAAATCTCGCGAAAACGTGTGTTAACCTAACGAGCACTCGTACCACTCTATCGTCCAGGATTAACAAGGTTCGTGCTGTGCCATGTGTAGAAGCCGAGACGAACAGGTGTGGTTACCGGTACTTCTAAACTTGTGCGGCAACAATCATCAGCATTTTTGCTGATCCTAGTCATCGGCAATGTGCATCTGATCATGAAGCGACCAAATGTCTGTCATGATCATCAGCAATGTCAATCGTCAGCAGTCTTATGTCAATCACGACCGCCAGCAATGTTTACTAGAATGGCTACTATTCACCACCGATTATCATGATCATGCAGCGATTTGACAAAGATGCTTAGCGATGATGTCTAACATAAATATCAGCAACGTCTATCACGACCATCAGCAGTACCAACCTGGATCATCGCCAATATCCTGGATCATCATGCTCATGCAGTGCCTCGGGAGTCAGCATGCAGCAAATCGGATCCCAAACCTCATTCATGAGCTCTCACATTTCGCATGCCGCGTTAGAATACAACGCCAATGTTAAAATGCTTGTCTTTCCCTCGCTCTGCGACATGGTCCCTTGGAGCTACAGCAAAACAAAGCCACTGACTTTATCAACATCGCAACCGATCGTGATCATCCTGTGCATTTCAAGGAGATCGTTGATCCGGTGCGCTCTTGTGCATTTCATCTACATTTGTTTCCGCATCCAGGACAAGTGGTGCTGAAGTAGAGATGTCTAATGTCGTATGCAAGTTGTGTCACTGGTTGAATCAGGAAATGGATACGAACGAGACAGTGCCAGGATCAGAGCCTGCTGTACTCAATACGACCTACAGCAATGACACGACCAAGCATATTGTCAATAGTCATGACAGCTCATCAAAAGAGATCACCATACTGTTGAAGAACAAGGGGATCGACCTCAGCAATGATTCTTTACGTCCTTCAGGTGTGGCGTTTGTGTAGTAGATTCGTGTCTTATTGGCTTGTAACAACTATTCTGCAGGTATTAAAAGTCTTGAGTTACAACTGACTCCTTGGAAGTGTTGAGGATTGCAGATCGAGTTGGAGCGGGTTGCAATAATGACACCAAAGGCACAGCGGCCTGAAGAAGAGGGTTTGTTGGAGTATCTTGAGAAGGTGATTGGGACGAACAAGTACATCGAGCAGATCAAGGAAATAGCCCAACGGTAATATATTCTTGTTTATTCACCGATGGTGCAAGATTCGCATAAATTCCTTCACCATTGGAGCTCGCTAGTTGTGTTTCTAGGGTAAGTACCAGTACCCAACAGAAATGAACCATCCCGAATCCTCTCACCAGCAGGTTCCTCCTGTGGCTGAATGCCTTTGTTCCTTCTTGCTCTGTCTCTCAGAGCACTTGAATAAGGTTGACGTTCAGGCGATGGATTTGAACAATATAGCTTAATACAAGGCTGGGTGCTTGACTGTGCTGTGCCCATTCGTTCATCTGGCCTGCTTGTCTGCCATAATCCTTGTTTGCCTGCCGCCTTGTCTGCTTGCCTCCTCGTCTGCTTGCTTCTCTGCTTGTCTGGTGTGTGCAGGCTGGAGGATCTGAACGCGAGAAGGGTGGGCTTCATGGAACGAATGCGGTTAGCGGAGAGAGAAAAGGACCAACTGGAGGTGAGTGCTTAGATTGAGCAAGCATTATAGGATCCTCATAAAAAATGAACTCGAGAAGCATGGATTTGGCAATGCAGGAGAAAGAAACACAGAGCAAGCACTACAGGAGAAACACAGAGTACCTGGCCAAAGCACCTGGCTTGAGTTCCATCTGCTCCAGGAGGCAAAGAGAGCGCCATGATGGTCAAAGCTCCATTCTTTGCAGACCAGTCCTTTCTGCACGCTGCAGAATAGTGTGTGTACTGGGATGCAACATGCTCATGTGGTCCCTACAAACTTTTCAAAGACCATCTCGTCCATTCCTACATTATCTTGTCGTTCCTTGTGTCACTCACTCTCCCATTCCCACTCCGTATGAACACTTCAAGCCATCTCTTTCGTTTCGACAGGCATTGAAGAAGAGAGCAGCCGCAAGTGTACCCACTGAATGTGGCACAGCAAACACAGCTGTGCATGACAGAGGCACACTACCTTTCCTGGCACTGTACAATGAAACCCATCCATTTCACCCACTTGCATCTTTAACCAACCTCATCGCTTGCATGCCGTTGCCTCCAGGAGCAAAAGAAAGCGGCTGAAGTGTTTCTGCTGAAGGAGGCGCAGCGCACCCAGCTGAACATGGCGGCCGTGTATTTGCAGCAGGAGGAGCGTGAGCACACGATGAAAAGGTCTAGCAGCCTGGCCGCAGACCTTGAAAGGGCGATCGAGGCAGACAGGTGAGGCCTGGAGCTGTTGTGGGGTAGAAGGTTGGTGGGAAGTGTGTTGAGCATTTAGAAATGGCATGGCTTCGGTACTTGTCCTGTCTTCATCCAGTACTGGATGAGAACAGTGAATCATGGAAAGAGAGGTCGTATTCAACATGAGAGTCTGAGCCTGCTGACTGTAGCACCGTTGGACGCAGGAAAACCGTTTCCATGCTTTCGGAAGAAATCAAGTGCAAAGAACTCGAGTTTGAGCAATGCAAAGAGGAGCTTAAAGTGAGTCTTGGGGGCAGTGAGTAACAAGGGAGTGGAAAGTTGGCCCAGAAAGTCGGCAGAAAGTTTGTCGGCAGAAAGTTTGTGTTCTTAATGATGCAAGCTTCATTGACAGGCCCTCGTCTCAGAGCTGAAGGCTGCCAATGCAGAGCACAACGCACTGGCAAAGAAGATGCCTGCCTGCAAGACAGGCAAGGTGGGTGACTGAACGATGGGGATGAACGGTTTGAGTGGAATGGGAATGTCCCGATGCTCGCGGGTAAGAGCAGATGCGCCAGGACAAGTTTTAAGTGTAGTATTTGTGCTGTTGTGATACTGAGATGACCTGTCCATAACATATCCACATGCCAGTCGCTCACTCACCACCCCACCTACTCACTCGGCAACCACCACCGTTTTTGTCCTTGTTGCATCTGCAGGAGAACAAAGAACCCAAGCAAGACAAGAGCCCGAGCCACTCTATAGGGGGCACGAGCAGCAGAGGCACGAGCAGCAAAGTTACGAGCAGCAGAGGCATGAGTAGCAGAGGCACGGATAGGAAGGGAAGCAGCACGGAGGACAAATATGTTTCTCTGCAGAAGCAAATAGTGGATGAGAAGCGCAAAAAGTTGATACAGGTGCGTTTGTAAACGGCTCTAAGGTGGCTCTACAGCAATGAAAAATTAGGAGCCGTTACTCGGAAGATGCTTTGAGGCCTTGGAGTGTTACCATGCAATGCAAGCTCACACCCTTACCCTTTCTCTCCTTTCCGCTTTTCCATCCCTGCCACCGTGCCTGCCTGCTATGTCGTCTTACGTTTATGCCTGCATAAGCAGGGCAGCGGCCTGCTACAGGGCAGCTAAGTAAAAATCACCACCTTTTCCAACTCTCCACACACCCCTCCCCTGGTTACGCCTGTACTGGTAGGCAGTTCAGTGCAGGCAGGAGGAGTGGCTCCTCAAGGCGAGGAAAATTACTCTGAAGTCACCACTTTATCCTGCTCCTCCTGCATCTCCCTCTCCTGGTTGCACCTGTGCTGGCAGCTTTTGAATCGCAAGAGGGATGAGTGCGTTGACAGGAGGAGGGGGATAAATGCAGTTCATAGCCAGTCCGAGGAAACCTTCTTGCGAGCGGTGAGATGGGGCAGGGCAGGCGAGGTGGGCGCAGGGTGGATGAAATGGGCGAAGGGGAGGTGAGATAGCTATAAGGAGAGAAGGCCCTGGTGAGGGCCATGAGAATGGATCGGGGTAAGTGCTTGGATTTGTTCAGGGCCGAATGTGAATCGTACATACATTGGGCTTTGCTTCCTTTCCTGTCATTCACACTGCAAGGTTGATAAATATAAGCATTTGGAACTTTGCAAGAAGGGAAATGTCATCATGAACTAGGCTCATCTTTCTCTTTTGCCATTCCTCTGGAAAACGACATCATCCCGACTCAAACCCTGAATTTATGACTTACTAAGAGTTTCACTTTGCTCATCCTTTGCATTCTTCCCTTGGTCTCCAAACGGTCAGAAGAAGGGACTTTCACAGCTGGAGGAGTTGAGTCGCCTTCATCAAATGGGTGTGGACCACTCACGCCTGGCGAGGAATGAGCTCAAGTCCCTGGGGAAGCTATTCTTATGCCAGATCTCAAAGTGTGTTCGTAATGCCAGCTCTCTGACTTTGCTCGCTACTCTGAGCTGTCCTCATTCTGTCCTCTGCTCGTTACTCTGAAGCGTTTATGCACTGCTACACCTGAGTCTCGAAGGGAGCTTTCTTAGAAACTGCGAAAGCTGATATATGTCAAGCAATGCATAAAGCGAGTGTGTGCGGGTACGAACAAGGCCGGCCTTCCTCGCACCTCACAGGTGTTTTTGAGATGTTTCTCTCTTCTCCCCCACACCCCCAAACACCCCCCCACCCCGCCTCCCCCCTCTCCCCCCGCCCAACCACCCTCCCCCCTTCCCCCCCCTTTCTTTTTGCAGCATGCAAGAAAAACGCGTGTCAGACGAGGACATGGAGCAGGCAGGCCTTTCTCACGCTCTCAACGAAGCGCTGGGCGAGTGGCTAGAGGCAGCAGGCGGAGATTCAGTTTTTGTCGACGAAGGGGCTGAGGCTGAGACTGCAGAAGGTGGGGTTGAGAACGTAGAGAGGAGTGAGGCTGCAGAGGGGAGTGAGGCTGTGGCGCAATGCCAAGTAATTGAGCCTGCAGCACACGCATCCGAAGAAGCGATGCAGAAACTGGGGAGGCTGCTATGCTGGCTGTGCAGTAACTGCATGAGCGCTGGATCCAGCCACGATGAGGTGCTGACAAAGCATGAGTCTGTGGGAGAAGAGCTCAAGGCGCTCAGGGAAAAGGTTGACATAAGCTACATTGACAAGTAAGTGAGAGCGGTTTGCTGTGTGAGCATGCAGGTGGGGTAAGTGTGGGTGTGAATGGATGAGTGAGAGTGAGTGTAAGGGGGTTGTACTGAGCAAGTATGTGTGTGAACGAAGGGAGGGAGAGAGAGAGTAAGTACTTGTAATTTTAGATTTTAGGACTTGGTGTATAAGCTGATAGGTCCCATTTTCACGAATATAGTGTACTCAGAGTGGTGCAGTCTGCTATGACATGACTACCTAATGTAAGGGCTTTAAGCAGAATGCTTATTTTGCTGTTTTGAACTTGCTCAGGTACCACAAGAAAGAAGACGTTTTTTTCGAGAGGTTCTTCGAAGCAGCAGATGTGACACTTGAGAGGAATGCCGTGAAGCAAGAGCACGAGGGGCTGATAAGGCATCGGCAAGATGAGTTCACAGCAGGCCTGGACGCAATCAGAATGCGGGTGAAGGGGATCTACCAGATCATGGCGCCAGGTGGCGATGCTGACCTGGCACCCGTTGACCCGCTTGACCCATTCACCCAAGGAATTCATTTTTCGGTGCGCCCGCCACAGCAGCAGCGCTGGAGGAGCATGGCCGACCTCGATGGACGAGAGCAGGTGAGAGCAGCCCTGTGGCCTTGCCAGACCATTTTTTCCACAGTGGGGCAGTGAATGTCACTGCTGCTGCCGATGCACCTGTTAGTCTGTGCTCCACTGGTCATTCTACGAGGACCACTGAACCAATGGAAACCTGTGCTTCGGCCTTTGCTCCCACCGCCGCAATCCAACAATATTGTGCTTGCTGTAGCATGCCTTTCGTTTTGCATCGCATCACATCACATCACATCGCATCGCATTGCATCACATCGTATCGCATCACATCACATCGCATCGCATCACATCGCAACGCCATCGCATCGCATCGCATCACATCACATCACATCACGCTGCACCACATCGCACCATACCACATCACATTACTTTACATTGCATTGCATCACACCCCACCACATCACTCCATCACAGGCACGCAGCTCCCTCGCGTTGGTGTTGGCAGTTCACCTGGGCACCCAGACTCGCCCCTAATTAATCTTGGTCTTGATGCTGCCATGGGTACGTAACGAAATCCTTAACTACGAGGTCCTTAACTACATGTTAGTAGGCGTTGTCGGTAGGTGCTGGGGGTCCAGAGACCACTACGTGTTACTGCATGCATGATCAATGTTGCAGATTTGCAGGGAACAGGTAAGTTCCGCACCTCACCCTCACTCTCTGATCTAAACCCCAATCCTTGAATTTCCGTTTCTCGCCATTGCAGCCTTCAAGAACACGTCCTTTTTGGCTGGAGCGCCACGTTCCTCAGCACAGGAGAACACATGTGTGACCTAGCCCGAACCCAAACCCTATTACATGTAGCCAGAACATGCTCATTCTCGCTGAACTCATGGAACGTCATGCTACAGGCACAGGGACACACTACCACACCGGTCATTGTAGTCACTGCAGAAACGGCCTAAGATTTGTGTAGCATTCTTGGAGGGCAGTGGCTGTCAATCGATTGTCTACAATGCAGCAAGATCACGAAGAACACAGTAGAGTTTGCTCTTTTTGGAACTTGGATGGTGTGTGCGGTGACGATAAATGACCGGTCAATATATTGGGATGAGGCAACAAGCCACTGAATATATACCATCAGCAATAATGAATACAAGATGCCAACAGAGCCTGCCAAGAAAACGGGTGAACGACCCATAACTGTGTTCATCAATCCACAGTGGACTGCTGCAGATGGGTGTCATGTTGGGGTGTGGATGGAGCACAGGGATTGCCGGAGAGGACGAGAGACCTGCCAAGGGATGGCGGAGGGCGTGGGATCGGGGGAGAGAATAGGATGGAAGGAGTACATATGGGGGAAGAGAGAAGGACACACAAATCAGTTTACAATATCTGAGCGTTATCAATGTACAACGTGCATTTATGACAGGGATATACACACGTGTACAGGCATACAGCAGGTGCAGAAGGGATGCTTGTAGGAGGGATGTTACGCAATGAGCATCACTCTTGTGGGTTCTGCAATGAGTGTGTATGATCAGGCCCTTGGTCTAGCTACTAATTTAGGATTCAGTCACTCACTTGAGGTGTGGAAGGGCGGACGTGAGGTGGAGCGGCGCAGAGGAGAGGCGGTTGTGGGAGAGGTCGAGATGGCGCAGGGCGGTGAGGGAGGAAAGGGAGTCGGGGAGGGCCTCTAGGCTGCGAAGGGAGAGGAGGGGGAGAGGGGGGAGAGGGGGGAGAGGGGGGAGAGTGGGGAGAGGGGGGAGAGTGGGGAGAGGGGGGAGAGTGGAGTGATGGGGCGACAGAGAAGGGACAGGTGGGTCACTCAGGGGAGAGGTTGAGATGGCGGAGGGCGGTGAGGGAGCGAGATGGGGATAGCCTCTTGGCTCGAGGGGAGGGAGGGGAGGCATGGGGGGGTGGGGGAGAAGAAGGGTCGGTCGTAAACCTCAATGTGCTTTAGATAGAAGGATAGATGTGGTTAGGCGAGGCGTGTAGTTTGGTATGGTGTGGTGTGGTATGGTGTGGTGTGGTATGGTGTGGTGTGGTATTGTGTGGTGTGGTATGGTGTGGTGTGGTATTGTGTGGTGTGGTATGGTGGGCATACGGTGCAACAGGTGCTAAATGGCATCTCACTCACCCGCTGCCATCACTCATCCGCTGCCATCTCACCCACCCGCTGCCGTCAATCACCCCATCTCACCCCCCTGCTGCCATCTCACCCCCCTGCTGCCATCTCACCCCCCTGCTGCTGCCTTTCAGATATTTAGGTAAAGCAGTCACTTCTAAGAAATGTTCTCACCCATTGTGAGCGAGAGTGAGGGAGGTGAGGCGCGGTAAACGTGAGAGGCCAACGCCCAGGCGACATATGCAGGGCTCGGTGACCTGGCGGGGAGGGGAGGGGAGGGGAGATGAGGGGAAAGGACAGAAGGGGAGGGAGGGGGGAAAGGTGAGGGAGGTGAGGTGCGGTAGACATGAGAGGGCCACGCCCAGGCGACATATGCAGGGCTCGGTGACCTGGCGGGGAGGGGATGGAGAGAGAAATGTTGGGGAAGGGGGGAGGTTGGGGGAGGTTGGGGGAGGTGAGGCGGAGAATGTGAGAAAGGGCCACGCCCAGGCGACATATGCAGGGCTCGGTGACCTGGTGAGGAGGGGAGGGGAGAGGAGGAGAGAGGATATGAGAATTGGTGCAGCGAAAATCCTCACGTTGTCTCCCACCTGCCCCACCTTGTCTCACCTCGCCCCACCTCGTCCCGTCCGCCCCACCCCACCTTGCCTCTCACCCGCCCCACCTTGTCCCTCACCCGCCCAAACTTGTCAACCACTCACCCTCGTTGTCTCTGACCCGCATCACCTCGCCCCACCTCGCCCCACCTCGCCCCACCTCGCCCCACCTCGCCCTACCTCGTCCCATCCGCCTGACCTGGGGGCACATGAGGTTGGTGCAGCGCAGGTCGTCACTTGCAGTCAAGTCCAGATGCTGCTGCCATGCCACGTGGCAGCAGGTGTGGGGGGGAGATGATGGAAGGTTAGAGTGAGGGAAGGATAGAGTGACAGAAGGAAGAGGGTGGAGACAGGAGAGGGTGGGATGGGAACGAGTGAGTGCAGAATAGAGGAGATGCAAAGAAGAGAGTTCGGGGCATCAGGAGCATCAGGAGAATTGGAAGCACTGGAAGTGGGATAATTGGGAAGGAAATGACAAGGGAGGAAACGCAGGGAGGGAGGGAAGACACAAAATGTGAGAGAGAGGGAGGAAGGAGCTGAGGGGGAGGAGAGAGGGGGCGGAAGATAGGGGATGGCAGGGAGAGAGGAGGGAAGAATCCATGCAAGACGAGTGAGACATTGCGGGCATTGGGAGGGAGGAAAGACACAGGATGTGAGAGAGGATGGAGGAGGGAGGGAGGGGGGAAGGGGGGGGAATGTGGAGTGAAGGAGGAAAGACGGACTCGTGCAAGAGAGAAGACATGGCAAGCACCTATTCCATTGTCCTCCTCTCACCTCAACAGTCGCCGCATTTCGCAGGGCAACAGACAGCGAGTTCGCCCGTTTCGCCGCTTCGCCATCTCTTCGCCAACCTGCGCCCTCGTCGCCCCGCGAGTCACAGCGACCGTCGATGCCCTCCGCCGCCGTTTGAGGCGCCTCAAAACTCGCCGCGCCCTCTGCCGCTCCGCCAGGTGCGCCCTTTGCGGCTCCGCCAGGTGCGCCCTCTGCTGCGCCGCCAGGTGCCGTTATCGCGCACGCCTCAATCGACCGGGTCGAAGCCTCTGAAGCCGAATCACCCGCCGAGGTCACCGAAACGAGATCTCTGAAACGCGAGACCGAGTGTGGAGCGCGATCCCGGTGCTCGCCACTCGCCGATGGCCCCGGATTTCTCTCCCGCTGATCGATATCGCCTATCGACGCACCCGCATTCGCATCCCCCCTCGCGTCCCCCCTCGCTTCTCCTCTCGCGTTTCCCCCCTCATCCGCTGCTTGCGCGCATACCGCCTCGTCGCTCCGCGTGGCCGCCGAATCGCTCCCCAGAGCTCGACTGATCGCGCACCGGTGCAGAAGCGACGAGGTGAGAGGGTGGGAGAGGAAACGCGAGTGGAACGACATTGTCGAAAGATGTAAGCAAAGAAAGTTCGGGAAGGTTGTTCAGATAAAGTAGAAAATGTTGACACACCCTGGTGAAACTGCAATGGTGGCCTATTAGCTCAGCTGGTTAGAACGTCGTGCTACTAACGCGAAGGTCACAGGTTCGAGACCTGTATGGGCCAGTTCATTCTTTGCTCCATTTGCTTTCTGCAAGTCTTTGCTCCGTTCAGCGCTTGAAAAATAATCGCAAAACGAGGTAGACTGGTTGGAACTGTAAATTTGATGTAGGTGCTTGTATCCTGAATTGCGGAACTCTGCAACCAGTTCCATGCCATATTTGGCACCGCCCTTGCTAGTGCCAACCAAGCCAAGCGAATTCTCGAAAGCTGCTGTTGTGATATGGCTGGGCATTTCGCAAATCCTCACAGTCGATCCAGGATAGCGCGTTCCAGCCTGGCTGGTGGTAGGAAGTCACTGATCGGCGGGAGAGAAATGTTGTGATCCGCCACTCGTCCTAGCGAGACAGACAACTCGCGAGCATGCACTCTAGGGGGCTGAAGCCCTGATCCGCGTCGCGCGGTCCGGCTTGAGATGTTGGGAAGGGGGTTTGGAGAAAAACAGTGATTGGCTCACGAGGGGCGACAAAAAAATGATTCCGCTAGAGCTTCGGGCATTTCGTAGGTGGCGGGAGGGGGTGAAATGGCGGGAGTGGGTGAAACCGAATGGCGGGAGTGGGTGAAACCGAATGGCGGGAGGGATGAAACAGATTGGCGGGAGGGGGGGGAAACGAAATTGCGGGGGAGGGGGGAAACAAAATTGCGGGGGAGGGGGGAAACAAAATTGCGGGGGAGGGGGGAAACGAATTTCGACGGGGAGGGGGAAATGAAATTGCGGGGGCGTGGGGAAACGAAATTGCGGGGGAGGGGGGAAACGAATTTCGACGAAGGGGTTGAAAGCACACCTCGTAACCCACTCAGTCAAGGGATAACCTTTGATGCACATTCAGCTGAATGTGCACCCCGGATCACATTGGCCTATCTCAACAATCTTTGCCTCATCGCCGTGTCCTTTTTTTGGAATCATTTGCACGGTGCTCTATTCTGCCTCTAGTCTAGTGCCACCTGGCTGATGACTGTTGAGGGGAACGTACGAACTTCGCGAGTCTACCCGTCAATAGAATCAGCGATTCAGCGAACGTACGGGATGAGCGGTCACGACTCACGGCGAGTTAGGACGGGCAATCATAGAGAACCCACAAGGGGTACTTGTCGTCGTCACGACGAGGCCAAGGTGGAACCAAGGCGGAGACGGAGGCGGAGGCGATACGCAAACAACACTCACCACACCGCAAGTCACGGCGGCCCTTCCATTCTTAGCTGTCATTTTCGTCGGTGCTTAGACTTGGGACTTTCTCATCGAGTGAGATAAGGCTGTTAGTGGACCCGTCACCTCCGAAGTGTGCCTCTGAGTGCTCGGTACCTGCTGCGCTAGTGTGACAATCTCGTCCCTGACGGATCAAACGCCTTGACGGACTCCTCGTTTAGCTTCGATACGTCTAATCAGCACGCCCAATCGCGAAATTCGCCCGAAGCCGCCACGATGTTTTCGCCGCTGGCCTGCTTCTCTCCGCACAACTTCGCCAGCGATTTCATCGATTTTGGCGACGATGTATCTCTCGACGAAAGCTTTTCGCAAGCAACGCCAACTACGCGGACCGTACCGAAAATTCCCTCCCTCTCGTCCCTGCCGGACTTCACGCGGCCGCTCACAAGCCCCGCAGCTACGTGCGTCGCAGCCTTTCCCGTCTGCTGCTCGCCCACCAGCGACGGCGGTTTTCGTGGTGACTCCTTGCGACGCCACGTACGACACATCGAGCGACGAGCCAACGACGCCTCGTGCGACGGTCGGCGCGACAACGAGTCGCACGAATTGTCGTTCTGGGCGTCGGAATGCGCTCAGGCGGAGCGGAACGACGTACGCCCACATCGCAAACTCCCCCCGGTCTCCGTCTCCGTTCCCCCTGTTATAGTGTCATCGCCTACCAGAACCGAGAGCCGCCGCCCTGCTCCCACGGGGAATGGGACCCGCAACAACTCCAAGCGCAATTCTAATGGCGCCGGCGGCGGTGGCGGCGACGGCGCAGACGAGAAAGGGGAAGCCGCCGCTGCGGCGTCGGCTCGAATAGCGGCAGCGCGGACAAATCCGAAAACCGCAAAGACGACAGAAGTAGCTGTTGAAACAGTCGCCGCCGCCAAGAGTCGCCTGCGCGCACGACCATCGCTGGTCATCCCAGACCCCGCTGGGGAGCCGTTGGATTGTAACGAAGATTTCGACTCGAACAACGTCACGGTAGCGAATTCTGAGTTACGTGGTAACCACCTGTCGCCGCCACACCGCAATTTCACGAATAAACCGCTGCCGTCGCGCAGCCGTGCAAAATCGAGGCCGCGCACAGCGCCGATGGGGATTGCGCGTTGGTTTTGGGACGTCGCGGCGGGAGTAGCAGGAGCGGGCGGAGCGGGAGAAGCGGAAGGAGTGGGAGGCGCGGCAGCCGAAAGCCGGACCAGCAAGCCGTCTGAGGATGCGACTTTGGCGGTGACAGCAACCGGACGCCGCGCAGCGCCGGCCTTGGTGATTGACATCCGCGGCGGCGGCAGCTGCAGCGGCGCGTTGGGCGGCGACGGGGATAAAGCAGCGTCGGTACGGACGGCGCTGTACCCATCGGCGCGCAGTGAAGGCGGTGGCGGCGAGCGGAGCGTGCGCGACGTGCTAATCGTGGAAGGGGGAAGGCCGCCCGCGGATGCGGGGCGTGCCCGAGGCGGTGTGTTCCGCAAGAAGCAGCGGCGGGGGAAGGGCAAGCGGAGCGTGTTCGTGTACGAGCTGGTGCGCGCGCCCGCGGGGGGAGGCGGCGGGGATTATGGGGGCCGCGGATTGCCGCGCGCGAGAACAGCAGGCGCCGCGGAGAGTGGCAGTGCTGGGTTGTGGGGGACGGACGGCGCGGAAGGAGTGGCGGAGGGAGCAATGGGAAAGGCGCAGGGTTGGCAGCAGCGGTCGCTGGATCGAAGTGACACGCAGAGCGACATTGCTGACGTGGACGAATGGCGAAGGGAGATGGAGAAATATCTGACGGAGAAATTAAGGCGAGAATCGGGTTCGAAGGAAATGGGGCGAAAGGAGAAAGAGGTTACGAGAGAGGAAAGGGAAAGTGGCGGCTCGGAAGGGGAGCAGCACGAACGGGAGAACGGTAGCGGCGGCGGCGGAAGTTGGGGGTTGCGAGACGCTGATGATGACGACTTGTTAGGAGCAAGCGGGCGCGCTTGTAATGCGTACGGGGGCTGTGACGAAGGAAACAACAGCTGGCGCGATACAAGCAGCGAAGGGGAGGCAGCGGGGATTGACCAGTGGGACCTGGACGCGGATATCGAGGCGCACCATAGCGAGGATGAAAGCAGCGCTGTGCTGTCCGCCGCCACGAGCGGCGACGGGGGCGATCCGTGGGGCGTTGGGGGCAGCAGTGGCAGCGAGGAGCAGCGAGCGCTGCAGCGGCAGGGGCGAGACAAAGGACTAGTGATAGACTTGGGAGTGGATGGGGAGGAGTTGGGAGTGGTGAGGAGGGACGAGGATTGGTTTGAAGAGGCGGAGGGCGTGTTGCTGGTGGACGAAGGGCGTGTCGTGCCTTGGGAGTCAGACGGTGGTGAGCGCGGCAGAAACGGAGAATGGGGAAGGTCGCGAAGCTGTGTGGAAGCGTCTGTCCGCCAAGCCAGCAGGGCGGCCGTTGCCCGCGCTGCAGCGGACGCGCAGGCAGGCAGGAGAGGCGACGGCAGCGATGGCAGTGGGAGTGACGGCAGCACCGGCCGTGGCAGCGACAGCAGCAGCAGGGACAGGGAGGGTGGGCGGCCCGTGCTGCTGCGGTGCGAGGGCGTGCAGGGGAGCAACCGCGTCCGCGCGTTTGATCCCAGCGAGTACCTGCCTGCGCCCACAGCACCCGCAGCACCTGCAGCACCCGCAGCAGCACCCACAGCTGCAGGTGGCGTGCCTGCGAGCGAGCACCACTGCGTGAGTGCAGGTGCAGGTGCAGGTGCGAGTTGGAACACACCCACGGCAGCCGGTGCAGCCGCTGTGCCAGAGGGCCGTGAGACTGCAGCGCAGGGAGGTGCGAGGGCGAGGGCACGCCAGGGAGATGACGCGGCGGCGACGTCAGCAGCGGCGGGAAAGAGCCAACACGTGTCGGCATGGTGGCAATTCGGTGGGGCTGATAAGAGCGCTGATAAGAGCGACAGCAGCGGGCAGGCCGGCAGACGGAAGAGCACAGGTGGTGGAGTGAGCAGCGGAGTGCATGGGGGTCGGTCCCGGCCGCTGGGACCCCCACCCACGCCCCAGAGCCCTGACCACGACGCACGCATGGAAAGCCGCACCTCGCACTTGATATCACCACCGGCTCTCCCCTCGCACGCATCAGCAGCGTCATCGTCCCGCCTACTGCCCTCCCCACGCCTCCCGCCCTCCCGGCGCCTCCCGCCGTCCCCCAGCCTGAGGAGGCAGCAATCCGCTGCGGCTTCGCTTGCTGCGGTGGAGGCGAGTCAACGGCAGCGTGAGAGGCAGGCTGATTTGACTGCACGAGCAGGCAAGCAGAGCAGGGGAGCGCGGGAGGAGTGCGGGCGAGCGGCGGTGGTTTTCCACAAGAGCAGCAGCACTGGCAGCAGTGGGGGAGGAGGAGGTGTCAGTGGCACCGGCAGTGGCACCAGCAGTGGCAGCAGCCAGGACACATCGAGCAGTAACTACAGCAAGAACAGCACCCAATGCCGCACCTCGCCCTCCCCATCCACCTCTCGTCCCTCTCCCCCACTCCCTTGGTCACCTCCTCCCACGTCCCTCGTCCCTCTCCCATCACCCCCGTCCGTAGTCCCTCGCCCCTTGCTCTCCCTCTCTTTCTCAGCTTCGGTTTCAGCTTCGGCCAAGCCTAGGCCTCTGAGCCGTGCCAACTCTGCCGCCCCAGCGCTCCTGCACCCACAGCCCATCTTGCTGGCTGGTGGGAAGCGATTCAGCACCCGCTGCCCTGCCGCTGCGGCTGCTGCTGCCGCCGCCGCTGCAGTTGTTGCAAACGGCGGTGGTGCTAATGCTGCTGCTGCTGCAGCGGCTGCCAATGGTGCTGGTGCTGTTGCTGCTGCCAATAGCGGTGGTGGTGGTGGTGCTGCTGCTGCTGCTGCTGCGACTGGGAAAGCAAGAGCAGGGAGAGCAGCAGAGGCGGCAGGGATAGCAGGAAGGAAGGGAGCAGTGGGCCTCAAAGCGAGCGCGGTGGTATACCACCCGCCCTTCAGCAGCTATCGTCACCAGGCTGACGTGGCAGCCCAGGAGGAGGAGGCGAGTCTGAGGGAGCTGGAGCAGCAGCTGGAGAGAGAGAGGAGGAGGATGGAGGAGGAGGAGGAGGAAGACTTGTTGGCAGTGGCTGGTGAGAGGGGATTGAGGGAGGTGCGAGTGATGGAGGGCGAGTGGGAGGAGGGGGGTGCTTGGATGGTGAAGATGCCCGGAAGGGGGGAGTCAAGGAGGCTGGAGGAGCTTTGTGAGAAAGCGGTTGGGATGGGTGCTGGTGGGGTGGGGATGGGGTTCGATGGGGTGGATATGTGTTTGGAGCTGGAAAGAGGGGTGGTGAGCATTGGGCCTAGTGTGGGGGGTAGAGGAGGGATGGGAAGGAGCTTGAGCATGGGAATGGGTTGCTGGGGTTGGGTCCAGATGCGATGCCGGATGCGAGAGGGAGAGAGAGGATGGGGGTGATGCAGGGACTGAGAGAGCATGCAGTCACATCACCAGCACCTGTACCTCCTCCCATGCGACGATCCTGCACAGACACACGGCAGGAGAGGCGGGCGAGGGAGCAGCTGGAGAAGATGGGTGCGTGTGTGAAACAAGATGTGGGAATGGAAGCAGCAGCGGCGCCACCCATGCGACGGTCCCGCACTGACACGAGGCAGGAGAGGCAGGCAAGGGAGCAGCAGGAGCAGAGGGAGCAGTTGGAGCAGATTGGTGTATGTGTGAAACAGGATGTTGGTCTGGTTCCCGTGCCACCTCCCATGCGACGGTCACGGACTGACACGCGGCACGAGAGGGGGATGAGGGCAGGGCAGCAGGCAATGACACCAGCAGTGAGGGGAGGTGGCAGAAGAAGCGAAGGGTGCAGCAGAGGGGAAGCAGGCAGCGGGCGGGTGTTGCGGCGAGGCAGCACACAGCCGAGCCGGCGCTTGGAGCAACAGGAGGGGGTGGCCCGGCGCAGAGAGGGGGACCTGCTCATCCGCACACACGCACTGTGAGTACTGTGGATAAAGGGCAGGGGGCAGGGGGCTGGGGGCAGGGGGCAGGGGGCAGGGGGCTGGGGGCAGGGGGCAGGGGGCAGGGGGCAGTGGGCAGGGGGCAGGGGGCAGGGGGCAGGGGGCAGGGGGCAGTGGGCAGGGGGCAGGGGGCAGGGGGCAGTGGGCAGGGGGCAGGGGGCACGAGGCAGAGGGGGAAAGGGGAGGGGGAGGGGGTGGCCCGGCGCAGAGAGGGGGACCTGCTCATCCGCACCCATGCTCTGTGAGTCCAGTGGGAGGGGGGGTAAAGGTGAGTTTGAGGCATCTCAAAACGCGCAGAGAGGGGGACCTGCTCATCCGCACCCATGCTCTGTGAGTCCCATAGGTGGGGGGGGGGGAAGGTGAGGGGAGGGGTGGTTGTGATTGTGTCTACTGGCAAGCTGCTGAAGCCTGTGTGGCAGGAGGTGTGCTCTGCTGTTGATGTCGTCTCATCCCTTCTTCGCCGCTCACTCTTTTTGTCTGTCCCTTGCACTGCTGCTGCTGCTGCTGCTGCTGCTGCTGCTGTGTGTGTGCAGAGGGCAAGACGCGGAGATTCTGGTGCTAGACAACTGACAGTGGCGATGGGCACAACACAACGGCAGAACATGTGATGGCAACTGATAAGGATGATGGCAACGCTGATTACAAACTGACGATGATGGCACTGCCATCCTGGGTTGCGTATGGGGCAAACCTCTTGCCACACGGCTTGGCAATGTTCAGTGGGCTGCTTGCAAGAAACTTTGCTGGCATTCCATTCCAGACTCACGTCTCCCCGTTCCTGTCACTCAATCAACGCCGTAGTGTTTCTGTCCAGTGACCACCCACGGCCGTGGTATGAAGGAAAGTGGCTCATACTGTATACCGTACCAAGTGTTACATGTGCGAGCGAGTGAAGATTGCACTAAGGAAGCAAAAACAAGTACAACGTGTATTCAAAGGCATGAGAAAATACAGCAAATGGTAACGCGGTGCGGCCGAGCTAGCTTTTGTGCAATGCTGGAAGCGAGGTCTTTTGAAAGTGATGCGGGAGAAGGTGGCCAACCACCGTTACCAGTAATAGGCGAAGTACGGTTGGTCTTGTACGCGATGATGATGTGTTCAGTATCAATATACGGTAGGAAATTTCATTACATTATGGAATAGTGATGGTTGGAAAATGCATTGTGGGACTAGGAATTGTAAGGCAAGAAAAGTGGAGTGCCCTGTAGCACTAGAAAATATGAGAAGATAATAACAAAGGATTCCGGAAGTATTATCCAAAGTGCTTATTTATCGTGTGTAACATTGTGGGAATGTCTATCAATCTACCACCCAGTAAAGTACTGTAACTTGAACATAGCAGGAAACTATTGGACCGTTTTGAATCGCACATATAGGACTCTTGCTAGGTCACTTACTAGGTCTACGCGATTCGACGTGCCGGCTCTTTGTGCACGATGCTCCTATCCACATACTGTACCACGATTTGGAGTGAGGTGACGTTAGGTGAGGTGAGGCCATTGATTTGGCAGGCGTGTTCTATCGGTGAGCAGAGCTAGAAAGAATGAACATCGTGAGCCCGACCACTCGAGCTCTACCTTGTTTGCCAAGCCGTGACCTGCCAAACTCTCCCTTTTGCCAGACGATACCATTTTAAATCTGCACGCCGCCGCTTATATCATAATGCGGCGTTTTCCCAGGCGTGCCGCCGCACGCCGCTGCAGTAACGCCGGAGCTTGCGTTCTCCTCCTCGCAGCCCTTACGATCACTATCGGCGCTGCTGCTTGCTCCCTTTTCAGCGTTAGTACTAGTACTACTACCAATCGCCCACCGCCGCGGCGGCGAGATGTCCCACAGCGGCTTCTGTCCAGACAACGCCTGCTGTCTCGCGCTCAGCCCAGCCGTGCCCAACGCTCTCTTTTGAAGCTCGCCGCTACCGGCAGCGCTGCCGCGGCGGCCGACGCGAGCGTTGGAATCGTTCTCGAAAGCTCGCAATGTGAGTCGGTTTGTTTTTGAGACGTCTCAAAAACAACCTCGCTTCACGTGGCCGACGCGAGCGTTGGAATCGTTCTCGAAAGCTCGCAATGTGAGACGGCTTTTCCAGTTCAGGCTCTCAGCGCGCTTCCTCACTTTGAGAGCTCAGCGCGCTTCCTCACTCTGATAGCTCAGCGCGCTTCCTCACTCTGATAGCTCAGCGCGCTTCCTCACTCTGAGAGCTCAACGCGCTTCCTCACACTGAGAGCTCAGCGCGCTTCCTCACACTGAGAGCCCCCCGACCTTTCTTTTTTGCAGTAAATGTGCTCCCATTTCCCCGTTGTGCCGCCAGAGCAGGCACTGCTGCAGCTGAAGGCGGCGTGGGGCGTGTGGGCGGGAAACAGCAACGCCACCACGGAGTGCCCCCCCCCCTCCCCCTCTTCCCCTCCCTCCTCTCCCCTCCCGATTGCATTCTCGACGTGCCTGCCCCCCCCCCCCCCCCCCCCCCCTCCCCCCTTCCCCCTTCCCCCTCTTCCCCTCCCTCCTCTCCCCTCCCGATTGCATTCTCTGTACCGGCAGTGAAGGTGCTGCTGCAGCTGAATGCGGCGTGGGGCATTTGGCCGAACAACAGCAACGCCACCACGGCGTGCTCTGCATGGAATGGCGTCACCTGCAGCCCCAAAGGGCTCGTCGTTTCCCTGTGAGTCTCATTGCGCGCACTGCATTGCATGGGATGCCATCACATGCAGCCCCAAAGGGCTCGTCACCACCCTGTGAGAATCGTTCCGCCACTCGCTGTTCTCGTTACACTAGATTTCTGCTCGGTGCTGTGTGTCTCCCTTTATAAACATGTCTTAACTGGCCTCGTTGCAATGATTCCCTCCCAGTTAGGCCGTGGTCTTATGTCACGGGCGTTGTATTGGTATCCATAGCCTAGGGTTCGAATCCAGCTAGCCACGATTTTTCGCCTGAAAATGCGGTGGAGCTAAATTGAACTTCGAGGTCCCTGCCAAGCCGACACCCTGATCCGACGAGAGCGTTGACTCCAGGGCAGCACGGGTGTAATGCATGCAGTCTTCTTGCAGCGTATGTTTTTTGAGAATCTAAAAAAAGCACGGGTGTAATGCATGCAGTCTTCTTACTTACACCAAGGGTTTACAAGGGGACTGTTGCTGCGCTGAATAAGCCTCTTTTTGGCCAACCTAGTCTAGTAAAGAACCGGGCGGTTCTATTCCCCCTCGGTACTTTTAAGACGTCTCAAAACTCGTTCTGGCCAACCTAGTCTAGGCACCGGGCGATTCTATGCCCCCTCGGTACGCCGTCGTTACTCCTCATTGGCCCTCTGGCCTCTCCTTTCCCCCACAGTGTTTCACTGACTGTATCACCCTTCCGCTGTCTGCTCCTCTTGCAATGATCGTGTCGAATTGTGTGTGTGTGTGTGGGAGCATTGCAATCCGGACAAGGGGGGGAATGGGTTGAAGGATGTGGGGGGTGGGATGGGGGAGGACTGGATATTTGGGGAAGGAAACTGGGGTGGGCGGGAGATGGGGGAGGAATGGGAGCTGGTTGGTATTGCGTGTGTGCATGCATGCGTGTGTTGACAGGGATTCAAGTCTAGTGCGGCCTAATTGGGAATTTTACAGTTACTCCATACCTGCCTCCATCACCGGTCTTTCCACTCTGCAACTCCTGTGCGTCACCACCACCCACCCACCCACCCACCCACCCACCCACCCACCCACCCACCCACCCACCCACCCACCCACCCACCCACCCACCCACCCACCCACCCACCCACCCACCCACCCACCCACCCACCCACCCACCCACCCACCCCTCTCTCTCCACTACAGTCTACATCCATCTTGCATTGCATCTACCATATACCTTTCCGTCATTAGCCATGGCCTCGCCCCAACCTCGTACTGCTCTGCCCTTTAATCTCGTTTTCACATTCACATGCCACAACCCTACTGACCATACCCTCTTCCTGCCCTTGCATGCCTCCCTTGCATGGCTCCTTTGCATGCCTCCCTTGCATGCCTCCGTTGCATGCCTCCCTTGCATGCCTCCCTTGCATGCCTCCCTTGCATGCCTCCCTTGCATGCCTAGCCAGATCACAACCTGCATGCCTTCATTGCATTGAAGAGATAACTCCATTTTATCCTCCTCTTGCCATCTCCACTGTTGTTCGCGCTCCCATCCCATCCCGCAGTGATCTGACCAACGTTAATCTGTTCGGGCCCCTTCCATCCCTCGCCAGTCTCACTGGCCTCACGCACCTGTGAGTGTTGCTCTTCCTTGGCTCCAAACCAGGTCAACTGAATGTTGGACTAGGCCCTGACTTTTGAGTCGACTCAAACCCATTGTTCCATATTAGGTCAACTGAATGTTGGACCCTGCCCTGCCCATCCAATATGCCCGTTCAGCACCCTCCTTTCACTCCTCTGCACCCCCTGATCCTGCTCTTTCTAGCTTAATCGATTGTTGCTCCCGCAAATTTTCAAGACTGGAGTCATTTCCCTTCCATTCCACAACTATCATTTTCCTTTCTGACCCTTTTCCCACGGCGTTCATTACCAATCGCTTGTACAAGTACTTTTGAGTCGACTCAAAAGTCGTACTCGTCAAGTCCTCGTTTATTCCAAATAACAAAATCCTTATTTCCCCTGAACCCTGCATCCCCGTGGCTGCCCCATGTGGTTCCATTTCCCACTAACTGTACCACGTGCACCGTTCATGTGCACTGTTGCTGCTTGCATGCCCCATACGCACTGTTGCTGCTTGCATGCCCCATGTGCACGCAGAGCTATTTTTATGGATGGTGACATCAGTCACACTGGCACTTTGGAGGGACTGGCCTGGCTCTCCTCCCTCACCAACCTGCAAACACTGTACTTCACGCAATGCAAACACTGTTCGCCTTGCAAGCCAGTGTTTATTCCTGCGAGCAATTTAATGTCACTGTCACTCTTCTTTTGCTTTGTCATCCATCCTTGCTGTCTTAGTTTAGCAATTGCCTTTAGCTGACGTTAGGCAAAAGATGTGGCTGGAGAAGTTTCTGAATTTTCAGTTACATGTTGTTCAACACAGGAGATTCGACTCAAACAAAACATTTTATGCAATTAAAAAGGAGTCGGGAGCCTCGTGTAATGCGTCTGCCGCATTTAGCCACGTACCGTACGGCGGAACCGGATTCACTAACCAACCCTGAAACTAAAACTGACCTGTTGCGTTTGTACCAAACATGGTTCAATTGCGGTTGGACATTTTAGGCACGTGAAAGAAGTAGTGTTTTGAGACGTCTCACGTGGAAATTCAGTTGCGGTTGGACATTTTAGGCTGAGGCAAATTACTTCTCAACATTTGCCAACTTGTTTTCGGTTTTCTTGTCCTTTTCACGTATGCTTTCCTTAGCTCCTTCACTTTCCGTCCAGCCCCACCGTTCTAGCTCACACCATTGTCCAGCATGCAATGCAGCAGTCCCCATGCTCCTACGTTACACCACCCCCAATGGCTTCTCTTCTCCCGTGTCGCACTTCCCTCTCTTCAACCAGGTCTCTAGAGTACTTGGCATTTCTCACAGGGGAGTTGTCTTCCCTGCACTTTCTTTCACAACTGAGAAGCCTACATCAGCTGTGAGCATCATCGCCATACAAGAACGTACGGTACAGTGGTGGCGCGGCTCCTTGCTGAATGGGGGCCGTTACCGTACGCACGGTACGGTACAGTGGTGGCGTGGCTCCTTGCTCCTATTCTTAATCTGCATGTCACCATGTGACTTGGTCCATACCAGCTCGCATTTGGCAATGGTGTTTGCATGTGCATGAGTGCAGGAAAGTCCGGAGTCTCAGAAACGCCACGGGGGAGTTACCCAGAGAGCTTCAGTACATGACTGCCCTCACTTCATTGTAAGCTCCACTCAAGTCCGATGGGACAGGTGAAACGGATTCGTTCATGTTCGTGCACGAGTAACACATCCCCATCCCCATCCGCATCCCCATCCCCATCCCCATCCCCATCCGCATCCCCATCCCCATCCCCATCCCCATCCGCATCCCCATCCCCATCCCCATCCCCATCCGCATCCCCATCCCCATCCCCATCCCCATCCCCATCCCCATCCCCATCCCCAGTTCCAACCCCTCGCCGGACATGACTGCAGCTCCATTGGCTTGTCTACATGACGTGCTCTGCTCTGCTCTTGCTTTCCTCCCTGCTGCAGGGATCTACCCGACCTTCGTTTCGTGGAGTTCCCCATTTGGGTCACTCGACTTACCAACCTTCAGTATCTGTGAGCTCCAGGGTTGCGGGTTTAGTTTTCCTCCTACTTCACCCTCCTACTTCGCTCTCCACCATTGTCACACACCACATCCCCCACGAGGCACGGGGAGGATCACATGTGCCAGCCATGGCGAGGCGATGGCTGGGATTGAGGTGCTCTAAGTGCGCACACGCACCATTGTCACACACACGCCACGCCACATCCCCCACGACGCACGGGGAGGACCACACATGCCAGCCATGGCGATGTGATTAGATTGAGGTGCTCTGAGTGCGCCGCATCTTGCTGGCATCTTCTTGTGTGCAGGAACCTGGAGGCAGACTATCCACACCGGCAGGGGCGATTGCTGAATGATGACCTCTCTCAGCTCACAGCACTCACCTTCCTGTGAGTCTACTGTGGCTTTCACTTGGTGCGGATCCTTGGTGTCAGCTTTTTGTTTTCATATGTAAGGCCTTCAGGACTTGGGTTTCCTTCTTACTCGTTGCAAGCTAGTACTGCAAGGGTGTTGGGAAAGCAGTGGACATGTCCAAGCGTGACGCGTTAGAGGTGATATGCATAAGAAGGTTTGTTCATATGGTCCACTCAGACTGTCTCTGATGCCGCAACGCTATCGCAAGAAAATCACTCATAATTCCTACCCTAGTTTCTCATGACTCCCACCAGTTATTACTCTGGCGTCCACCTGTTGCCTGCTCTTCAGCTCCCTTAAAGGAAACAACCTGGAAGGATACCTTCCCAATAGCTGGACCAATCTGGCCCATCTGCAAGTGCTGTGAGTTACTGTTTACCATAACAACTTGCCATCCTGCCATGTTGCCATAGTGAGTTTCTCTCTACAGTATTGAACATGTATCCGATCCAAGCAGGAGCTTTGTTTGCCAAAAACAAGCGGAATTAGTAAGGTCCTAGAACATATACTGTGGCGTCTAGGATTGAGCAAGTATCCGAACCAAGCAGGAGTTGCTTTCGCCAAAAACAAGCGGAACGGCTCGAAACAAACTTCTACAGCCCTTAACTTAAATTGCTTCTCTAGGAAACGCGCGCTGCTCGAGCTGCAAACCTGGAGTTGGACGTGCCTCAACTGATCTGTTTTGAAGCTTTCGAATAGTTCAACTCGAACCAGTACTGGTCCCTTACAGTCTGGTTTCAGTAAGTTACAGAAATAAGGCAGCGTTTTTCTTTGATTAAAGCCTATCCCTGTGGTTCTTTAAACAACATTTTTTTTTAAAAACAGTAACTTGGGAGTCAACAAATTTGAAGGCACAATTCCGGCAACATTCTCGGCCCTAACAGGCCTGACCTTATTGTAAGTTTCATGTGTCCTCCCTGCTTCCATTGTCCCACCCTTACTCCTTGTCTATATCCCTCGTCCCTTCCTCACTCCGTACACCACTTGTTCTGCCCCCCTCTACTGCAGACACCTTTCCTATAATCAACTGTCTGGTACCATCCCCGCATTTGCCACCAGCATCAAGTCAATGTATGTCATTCTTCCCTCCGGCTCCAGTCAATATATGTCACAAGCCTCACCGGAGCACATTCTACTTCCCATACCTTCATGATTCAGTACATTTTCAATATTCAGCTTCCCCTCTTTCCTTCATGCATTCCCTTCCCTGCCAAACCATTTTCTTTTGCCTCGCTAGATCTTCCGGTCTTTATTTCTGTGCTTGAAGCTCTCAGGCTTTTTCTGTCGCAGATCCATTTTGCATGTGCTCCCAGCCTCTATCCTTGGTGCCTTCAACCAATCATGCAGAGAGAAAGCCATGAAAAAAAAAATGTAGCTGCAGGCCTGTGCACCCTTACTTGCGAAGGAGCCACCCACCATTCCTATGGGATGGTCTGCACCATTGCTCTACACATGTTTACAAACAAATGCCTGAATTCATCCAGCTCCATGCCATGTCACGAGGCTCCCCCGCGAACTACTCCAGATCTAGTCGCGGGCATAACACGAACCACTTTTAACCACCCCTATGTGATTCCAAATCACTTCGTTGCTGGTTCGATATCCCACATCTGCTGCACCACCAACATTTCAACAACGGCTGCTCACATCTGCTGCACCACCAACATTTCAACAACGGCTGCTCACATCTGCTGCACCACCAACATTTCAACAACGGCTGCTCACATCTGCTGCACCACCAACATTTCAACAACGGCTGCTCACTCTGCTGCACCACCAACATTTCAACAACGGCTGCTCACTCTACTGCACCACCAACATTTCAACAACGGCTGCTCACATCTGCTGCACCACCAACATTTCAACAACGGCTGCTCACATCTGCTGCACCACCAACATTTCAACAACGGTTGCTCACATCTGCTGCACCACCAACATTTCAACGTCGTCTGCTCACATCTGCTGCACCACCAACATTTCAACAACGGCTGCTCACGTCTGCTGCACCACCAACATTTCAACAAGCTCACGTCTGCTGCACCACCAACATTTCAACAATGGCTGCTCACATCTGCTTCACCACCAACATTTCAACAACGGTTGCTCACATCTGCTGCACCACCAACATTTCAACAACGGCTGCTCACATCTGCTGCACCACCAACATTTCAACAACGGCTGCTCACATGTGCTGCACCACCAACATTTCAACAATGGCTGCTCACATCTGCTGCACCACCAACATTTCAACAACGGCTGCTCACATCTGCTGCACCACCAACATTTCAACAACGGCTGCTCACATCTGCTGCACCACCAACATTTCAACAACGGCTGCTCACATCTGCTGCACCACCAACATTTCAACAACGGTTGCTCACATATGCACCACCAACATTTCAACAACGGCTGCTCACATCTGCTGCACCACCAACATTTCAAGAACGGCTGCTGCATGGCTTCCTGCCTTACCCTGCCATGCCAAACCAGAACGCACACTTTAATCCCCCATTCCCGCGGGAAGACTCAAAAGTATTCCTGCTACTTGTTTTTGTATGTCTACATCATTTCCACTTTCACCGCCCCTCGCTTCCTTTCATCCCTCCCACTTCAGTTTTCCACCCCCCCCCTCTTGTCCTGATCCCACCACCAGCTCCTTCAACCCTCCCCCCCACCTTTCACACTTGCCCTGCTTTGTATTTTCGAAACCCTATTCCCCATGGCCTCGCACTCTTTGCTCCATTCTTCCCCTTTCTCTTGTCGTCTCCTGTCTTGACTGCCTATCCAGATTCCTCCAGTCCAATGCCTTCAGTGGGCCCATCCCACCACACCTACTGGCACTGCCCAACCTCTCTGAATTGTAATGCCCCCCATGTTTGCCCATTTTTACGCACTTTATCTTCAAACCTCCAGACCTATTCATTGCTTGAGCTATCCTTCCACCTGCACTATCCGTCTAGCCCCATTTCCCTAACCTTGTTTCACTCCCTTTCTAATCTGCAATGGTTCCTGTATATGGTCGCCCCGGCTGCAGACTACTATCCGACAATCAGTTCACAGGAGCCATCCCCAGCAACTTCAATCGCCTCACTTGGATGACTAGTCTGTATGTCTCTCCCCAAGCTGCCCTCCCCCCATGTACCTCTCCCCGCCCCCATGACACGAAACTGCTGCATGAACGGAATCTATTGGAGGATCTCACATGTTACTGATTGTTCTTTGCTGTGCCTCGTTTGAACATAATTGCAATTTTCCAGCATTATGTGTGTGTGTGTGTGTGTGTGTGTGTGTGTGTGTGTGTGTGTGTGTATGTGTGTGTTGTGTGTGCATGTGCGCGCGCACGTGCGTGGGCTCCACGTGACAGAAACATTTCTTTCAGCAATTTAAGCTCAGGCCTTGACGTGGTGGCTCAGATGACATGGCTCAACGACATGTGAGTGCTCAACGACATGTGAGTGCTCAACGACATGTGAGTGCTCAACGACATGTGAGTGCTCAACGACATGTGAGTGCTCAACGACATGTGAGTGCTCAACGACATGTGAGTGCTCTCCCCTCTTCAGCACCTCAGCTGGCCCTGACCCTGCTTCCCTTCCCTTGGTCCACTTTGGCTGCCTGCAACGTCTGAGCTAGGACACTCTCTCCAATACCGGTTGTGCAGATCGATCAATGACAACAGCTTCTCCGGTGTGCTTTGTGTTTTGAGTTGACTCAAAACACGTCTCTCCAATACCGGCTATGCAGATCGATCAATGACAGCAACTTCTCCGGTGTGCTTTGTGTTTTGAGTTGACTCAAAACACGTCTCTCCAATACCAGCTATGCAGATCGATCAATGACAACAACTTCTCCGGTGTGCTTTGTGTTTTGAGTTGACTCAAAACACGTCTCTTCAATACCGGCTATGCAGATCGATCAATGACAACAACTTCTCCGGTGTGCTTTGTGTTTTGAGTTGACTCAAAACACGTCTCTCCAATACCGGCTATGCAGATCGATCAATGACAACAGCTTCTCCGGTGTGCTTTGTGTTTTGAGTTGACTCAAAACACGTCTCTCCAATACCGGCTATGCAGATCGATCAATGACAACAACTTCTCCGGTGTGCTTTGTGTTTTGAGTTGACTCAAAACACGTCTCTCCAATACCGGCTATGCAGATCGATCAATGACAACAACTTCTCTGGTGTGCTTTGTGTTTTGAGTTGACTCAAAACACGTCTCTTCAATACCGGTTGTGCAGATCGATCAATGACAACAGCTTCTCCGGTGTCCTTTGTGTTTTGAGTTGACTCAAAACACGTCTCTCCAATACCGGCTATGCAGATCGATCAATGACAACAACTTCTCCGGTGTGCTTTGTGTTTTGAGTTGACTCAAAACACGTCTCTCCAATACCGGCTATGCAGATCGATCAATGACAATAGCTTCTCCGGTGTGCTTTGTGTTTTGAGTTGACTCAAAACACGTCTCTCCAATACCGGCTATGCAGATCGATCAATGACAACAACTTCTCCGGTGTGCTTTGTGTTTTGAGTTGACTCAAAACACGTCTCTCCAATACCGGCTATGCAGATCGATCAATGACAACAACTTCTCCGGTGTGCTTTGTGTTTTGAGTTGACTCAAAACACGTCTCTCCAATACCGGCTATGCAGATCGATCAATGACAACAGCTTCTCCGGTGTGCTTTGTGTTTTGAGTTGACTCACAACACGTCTCTCCAATACCGGCTATGCAGATCGATCAATGACAACAACTTCTCCGGTGTGCTTTGTGTTTTGAGTTGACTCAAAACACGTCTCTCCAATACCGGCTATGCAGATCGATCAATGACAACAGCTTCTCCGGTGTGCTTTGTGTTTTGAGTTGACTCAAAACACGTCTCTCCAATACTGGTTATGCAGATCGATCAATGACAACAGCTTCTCCGGTGTCCTTTGTGTTTTGAGTTGACTCAAAACACGTCTCTCCAATACCGGCTATGCAGATCGATCAATGACAACATCTTCTCCGGTGTGCTTTGTGTTTTGAGTTGACTCAAAACACGTCTCTCCAATACTGGTTATGCAGATCGATCAATGACAACAACTTCTCCGGTGTGCTTTGTGTTTTGAGTTGACTCAAAACACGTCTCTCCAATACCGGCTATGCAGATCGATCGATCAATGACAACAACTTCTCCGGTGTGCTTTGTGTTTTGAGTTGACTCAAAACACGTCTCTCCAATACCGGCTATGCAGATCGATCAATGACAACAACTTCTCCGGTGTGCTTTGTGTTTTGAGTTGACTCAAAACACGGCTCTCCAATACCGGCTATGCAGATCGATCAATGACAACAATTTCTCCGGTGTGCTTTGTGTTTTGAGTTGACTCAAAACACGTCTCTCCAATACCGGCTATGCAGATCGATCAATGACAACAACTTCTCCGGTGTGCTTTGTGTTTTGAGTTGACTCAAAACACGTCTCTCCAATACCGGCTATGCAGATCGATCAATGACAACAACTTCTCCGGTGTGCTTTGTGTTTTGAGTTGACTCAAAACACGTCTCTCCAATACTGGCTATGCAGATCGATCAATGACAACAACTTCTCCGGTGTGCTTTGTGTTTTGAGTTGACTCAAAACACGTCTCTCCAATACCGGCTATGCAGATCGATCAATGACAACAATTTCTCCGGTGTGCTTTGTGTTTTGAGTTGAATCGAAACACGTCTCTCCAATACCGGCTATGCAGATCGATCAATGACAACAGCTTCTCCGGTGTGCTTTGTGTTTTGAGTTGACTCACAACATGTCTCTCCAATACCGGCTATGCAGATCGATCAATGACAACAACTTCTCCGGTGTGCTTTGTATTTTGAGTTGACTCAAAACACGTCTCTCCAATACCG